TTTCATGATAATCATATCTCAATGAAGTATTTTTCTTTTTTAAATGAGAAGATATTTGGTCTTGTTTCGAGTTATAGTCTGCACATAGTGCAAAGTATAGAGTAGGCACTTTATATTTAACCAACGAAGACTGAAAGCAAGAGTATAAATAACTAAAAGATTGTTCATTTTTTATTTATCTCATTCCTTCTTGTGCTTTTTCCTCTAAAAATTAATGTAATATAATTGGATTGGCTTATATTATTTAGGAATGTAAGATAAATTCATCACTTCATGGCAAATAGATGGGAAAATAGAGGAAACAATGACAGACGTATTTTGGGGGACTCCAAAATCATTGCAGATGGTGACTGCAGCCATGAAATTAAGAGACACTTGCTTCAGGGAAGAAAAGTTATGACCAACCTGAAGTGAAGTGAAGTGAAGTCGCTCAGTCGTGTCCGACTCTTTGCAACCCCATGGGCTGTAACCTACCAGACTCCTCTGTCCATGGCATTTTCCAGGCAAGAGTACTGGAGTGGGTTGGCATTTCCTTCTCCAGGGGATCTGCCTGACCCAGGGATTGAACCCAGGTCTCCCTCATTGCAGGCAGATGCTTTACCATCTGAACCACCAGGGAATAAAGGCCCAAGGAAGAAAAGTTATGACCAATCTAGACAGCATATTAAAAACAGAGACATTACTTTGCCAACGAAGGTCCATCAAAAACCAAAAGCTATGGTTTTTCCAGTAGTCATGTATGGATGTGAGAGTTGGACTATAAAGAGAGCTGAGCACCACAGAATTGATGCTTTTGAGCTGTAGTGTTGGAGAAGATTCTTGAGAGTCCCTTGGACTGCAAGGAGATCTAACCAGTCCACCCTAAAGGAAATCAGTTCTGAATATTCTTTGGAAAGACTGATGCCGAAGCTGAAACTCCAATACTTTGGCTACCTGATGCGAAGAGCGACTCATTTGAAAAGACCCTGATGCTGAGAAAGATTGAAGGCGAGAGGAGAAGGGGACCACAGAGGATGAGATGAATGGATGGCATCACCGACTCAATGGACATGAGTTTGAGTAAACTGCGGGAGTTGCTGATGGACAGAAAGGCCTGGCGTGCTACAGTCCATGGGATCACAAAGAGTCAGACTCGACTGAGGAACTGAACTGAACTGAACTGAACTGAAGACAAATGCTAATGGATTAGGCCACAGGCTTATTCTCTTATTTATTTCCCAATTATTAATTGAGAAGGAGCTCTTTTTTGGGGTGCAGGGGTATGTGCAGCACAAGCAACTTCCCCAACCAGGATCAAACTCCTGCCACCTGCATTGGGAGCAGGGAGTCTTATCCCCTGGTTCACCAGGGAAGTTCTGAGAATGAGCTTTTTAGAATGCTTACTAGTACTGTGGATGCTTTTCTTTTTTTAATGGAACAACCACCACCACCAAAACAAGATCTAGCCGCTGCCCATTGGATTTTAGAATCTAGGAGGTACTATTACATAAAAGTATGGTGAGATACTCTCCATGACCAAATGGAGCAGTCCCCAGCCTTCAGGCCTTGGACCAGTACCTCCTGTGAGATCAGCAGCAACATTTAGACTTGAAATCAAGTTCACAATAAATGTAATGTGCTTGAAGTACCCCTAAACCATCCCACACTCCCAGTCTGTGGAAAAATTGTCTTCTACAAACCAGTCCCTGGTGCCAGAAAGGTTGGGCACTGCTGAAAGAAGATCTCAAAAGCAGCGGTGAAGAGGGCAGGCAGTTGGAGTTGAAAGCAAGTGTAAATGGCCTGCGGTGAGGCAGTTTGGAGCCTTGTTGTTCAGTCATTAAGTCTTGTCCCACTCTTTGTGACCCCATGGACTGTAGCTCACAGTCCTCCCTGCCCTTCACTGTCTCCTGGAGTTTTCTCAAGCTCATGTCCATTGAGTCAGTGATGCCTTCCAACCATCTTGTCCTCTGCCGTCCCGTCCTCTCCTGCCCCCAGTCTTTCTTTCCTAGCATCAGGGGCTTTTCCAGTGAGTCGGCGCTTCGCATCACGTGGCCAAAGTATTGGAGCTTCAGCTTCAGAATCAGTCCTTCCAATGAATACTCAGGGTTGACTTCCTTTTGGATGGTTCACGTGGTCTCCTTGCTGTCCAAGGGACTCTCAAGAATCTTCTCCAGCACCACAGTTTGAAAGCATCAATTCTTCAGCGCTCTGCCATCTTTCTGGTCCAACTCTCACATCCATACATGACTGCTGGAAAAACAGTAGCTTTGACTAAAGGGAGCTTTGTCAGCAAACTGATGTCTCCATTTTTTAATACACTGTCTAGGTTTCGAGCTTTAGGAAAACGGAGAGCCGTCAGTGAGCGGTCATTTTACGTCAAGTTGCATGGTGGGCAAGAGAGACAGTGGGAGTCATGAGCATGGCCAGATCTGCACATGGAGGGCCTCAGAGAATCCACAGTCTCCTGGACTGGTGACCTTTACCCTGGGTTGAAGGAGCCAGAGACCTCCTTAAGGAGGTACTTGATTATTTTCTCTTGTGTGTAAGTTGGGCCAATTCTAGGCAAGATCTATATTTTTTGTTGGTAGTTAAATACATGGACAGGGAGGCCTGGCATGGGGTAGTTCATGGGGTTGCAAAGAGTCAGACATGACTGAGCAACTGAACTGAACTGAAATATGTGGAAACACATGGTATTTAGATGAAAGGGTAGCTGGGAGAGAAGATACTGGTCAGTGACAAAAATTCTAAGAACTCTGAGTTGTTTCCAACTAAGAAAGGTTCTACCTCAAGCACATTCTATGTTACATCCTCTGGTGTGAATGTTACAAGATCGTCCTTGCTAGGCAACATTTTAGTCGACTGTGATTTTCTTTGTCTTGGAGTTTGGGTAATGTGCTGGAGTTCAGGGGGCTAGTGAAACAGCTTGTGAAACAATTGACCAGCTTAAACTGGTTTTACCTTCTCAAAATAGATTGTTGAGATTGTTGATGAATCACACCTTGAGTCATCATACAAAGAAAGAACTACATGTGTCCAAAAAGGAACAGAGGACCTCAGGATGGCCCCAGAGCCAAGATCTTCAGTCTGCAAAACTCAGAGAAGAGAAATGTTGCCCCGAGGGCCTTTTACAAAGTGAGAAGTCCTTCAGTAAGGAAAACCTGGCTTTCAGTAACCTGAGTTGCTGATATGGACTAATTTAAGACTAGCCAATTAACTTCCAAGTTAGAAATTCCCATGACCCCTTAGATTGCACCCAGGCTCCTGGATTGAAGAGAGATTTGATACCTTTCCTCCTGCATTGGTTGGCCTTGCAGCAAAGCTCTTTTCTCTACAGCTCTTGCCATAAGTATTGACTTCTCTGAGCATTGGGCAGTGAGTTTGGGCAGCCTAGTTGAGATTTAGGACTTGTGACCATCTGCTTGATGCACTGTATCCCCTGGTGGGCCCTCAACACCAAACCTGAGTGGCCACCTATACTGAGTTTGTCTAGAGAGTTGGTTCTTGGGTTCCTCTTCCCTAGCCATGGCGCTCTGGGATCCTCTGGCTTCTTGGGCTCCTTTCACTTTTAAGGAAGGAAACAGCTCCTGGACCAGACATCTTTGGGGTGAGTAAACTTGTTGAAATGTGCCTGTAACTAAATGTGCTATATGAAATTATAATGTGCTTGTAGTCTAATAATGTCATCAGAACTGTGTGTGAGAGAGGATGAGGCGGTTGGATGGCCTCACTGACTCAATGGACATGAGTTTGAACAAACCCGAGGGGAAAGTGAAGGACAAGGAAGCCTGGTATGCTGCAGTCCTTTGGGAAGCACAGAGTCAGGCGTGACTGATTGATTGAAGAAGGACAACAACACTGTGGGTTAGAGTCCCACCTAGGAGAGTTTCTTCTGTCTGATTAGAATCCCAAGGCTACAGTCGTGGGTTAGAGACCCACCCTAAGAGGACAATGCCAGAGGTTAGAGCTACCGAGGTGCTCAAATGATTGGGTTAGAGCTCTGAACACTGGGGTAAGGTTCCAGGCCTTTGGATTTAACTGCCTATGTTTGTCTGTGTCTGACTGTTTTATGTGTTGGGATTGGCTAATAGGAGTTGGCTATTGGATGAATGTGGTGAAGCTTTATTAAACCTATAATTAACGAGGGTCCTCTGAATCGGGAGATAAAACAACTTGCTCCTGGACTGGAAACATTGCTTTATGGAGGTGATGGGGTTTTTCCCCCTTGCCTAAGGTGGCAGCACAGCGGTATTGTTGCAGATAGATATTCTTTTTTTTTTTAAGTTTATTGGAGATTTCTTGATTTACAGTCTTGTGTCAGTTTGAGATGTACAGCAAAGTGATTGAGTTACACATATATTGAATCTTTTCAGATTCTTTTCCCATATAGGCTATTATAGAATATTGAGTAGAGTTCCCTTTGTTATATAGGAGGTCCTGTTCAGTTATCTTTTTCCTATATAGGTTGTGTGTGTATGTTCATCTCAAGTTTCTAATGTATCCCTCCCCACAAAGTTCCCCTGTGGTAACCATAAATCTGTTTTGTAAATATTGCTGCAATTTACATTGGGGTGATTGTTCCTTTTTCCAATTATGATTTTCTCAGGATATGTGCCCAGTAGTCAGATTGCTGGATGTTATGATAGTATTATTTTTATATTTCACTTTATTGGAGTATAATTAATTTAAAATGTTGTGTTTGTTTCAGGTGTATAACAAAGTGATTCAGTTATACATACACATATTCACTCATTTTCAGATTCTTTTCTCTTACAGATTATTGGGTAGAGTTCCCTGTGTTATACAGTAGATGCTTTTTGGTTATTGCTATTATATATATTATATAATATGTATATTTTATATATATATATATGTATATATATATATTAGTTGTAGATGTGGGCTTCCCAAGTGGCGCCGTGGTAAAGAATCCACCTGCCAATGCAGGAGACACAAGAGAAGCGGGTTCAACCCCTGGGTCAGGAAGATCCCCTAGGGCAGGAAATAGCAACTCACTCCAGCATTCTGACCTGGAAAATTCCATTAATGGAGGGTCCTGGTGGACCACAGTCCATGGAGTCACAAAGAGTCAGAGACGACAGTCGTGTATGTTTATCTCAGGCTCCTAAAGTATCCCTCCCCCAACATTTCTCCAGTGGTAATCATAAGCTTGTTTTTGATATCCACAAGGCAGTTTCTAGTTTGTAAGTAAGTTTATTTGTGAAGTGAAATGAAAGTTGCTGTTTTATCTGACTCTTTGCAACTCTATGGACTCTACAGTCCATGGAATTCTCCAGGCCAGGATACTGGAGTGGGTAGCCATTCCCTTCTCCAGGGGATCTTCCAAACCCAGGGATCAAAGCCAGGTCTCCCACATTGCAGGCAGATTCTTTCCTAGCTGAGCCACCAAGGAAGCAAGTTCATTTGTGTCATTTTTTTTAAAAATTAGATTCCACTTATAAGTGATCTCATATGATATTTGTCTTTCTCTGTCTTGCTTTACTTAGTATGACATTCCCTAGGTCCATCCATGTTGCTGCACATGTCATTAATTCTTTCTTATGGCTGAATAATATTCCATTGTATATGTGTACGACATCTGCTCTCTTCATTCCTCTGTTGATGGACATTTAGGTTACTTCCATATCTTGGCTAATGTAAACGGAGCTGCAATGAAGATTGGAGTGCATGTATATTTATGAATCATGGTTTTCTCTGGATATGTACCAGGAGTGGGATTGGTAAATCATATGGTAACTCTTGTTTTAGTTTTTCAAGGAACTTCCATAATGTTCTCCATAGTGGCTGTGTCGATTTGCATTCCCACCGAGAGGGCCAGAGTTTTCCCTTTTTCCACACTCCATCATTTATTGTTTGTAGATTTGGGGATGATGACCATTCTGGCTGGTGTGAGGTGATACCTCATTGTAATTCTCATTTGCATCTCTCTGATAATTAGCGATGCTGAACATCTTTTCATATGCTTTTCGGTCATCTGTATGTCTTCTTTGAAGGAATGTTTGTTCATACATTCTGCCTATTTTTTGATGGGATCGTTTATTTGACACAGAGGTGCATGAGCTATTTATATATTTTGGAGATTATTCCCCTGTTGTTTGCTTTGTTTGAAAATATTTCCTCTCATTCTGTGAGTTTTCTTTTTGTTTATGGTTTCTTTTGCTGTGGGGAAGCTGTTGACTTTAATTAAATGTCACCTGTTTATTTTTGTTTTCTTTTCATTATTCCAGGAGGTGGATCAAAAACCATTTTACTAAAAGAAAAAATTACTGCTGCAACTTATGTCAAACAGTGTTCTGCCTACGTTTTCCTCTGAGAGTTTTATACTGTCTGGCCTTCCATGTCGGTCTTTGATCCATTTTGAGTTTATTTTTGTGTATGGTGTTAGAGAATGTTCTCAATTCATTATTCTACATGTAACTGTCCAGTTTTCGAGGCACCATGTATTGAAGAGACTGTCTTTTTTGGTTCGCTAGTATTTCGTTCAGGATTTTTCCATCTGTGTTCTTCAGTGATATTGGTCTGTCATTTTTCTTTTCTTTTCTTTTTTTCATGTATACTTCTCTATCTGGTTTTGCTCTCAGGGTGATGGTGGCCTCATAGAATGTGCTTTGGAGTATTCCTTCCTCTGTAATTTTTTTTGGAAGAGGTTGATAGAATCTCTAAGTGTTTGATCGAATTACCTGAGAAGCCATCTGATCCTGGGCATTTTATTGGACAATTTTAAATCACTGTTTCAGTTTCAGTACTTGTGATCGGCTGTTTACGTTCTCTATTTCTTCCTTGTTCAGTCTTGAAAGATTGTACCTCTCTAAGAATCTGCGCATTTCTTCTAGATTGTCCATTTTATTTGCATATACTTGTTTGTAGTAGTCTCTTATGATACTTGGAGTTCCACATGAGAGTATTCTTCATGAAACCAGCCCTGATTACCTTGTTGTGGTGCCAGCATAAATGTAAAATGAGGGAGTGTAACGCAGGAAAAGTCTCCCCACAACAGAAGAATGCACCCTAATCCAGCTAAGGAATTTCATACAATTGGATACATTCTGGTGTTTCCTCACTAAAAAGTCTAGTCCTATTCTGTATCAGCCAGAATAGCAGGGAGGTAGTACTGAGCTACTTTTATATATTTGTGTATGTGTGGTGTTAAAAATGAAATTTTACCAGGAAAATAGCCATTGGTTGTGGTCCTAAAAGCCATGGGCTGCATAGAGACCTTGGGGTGAATGTATTTCCCCTGGAAATTGCCCAGACATCTAGATTTGCTTGTCTGTGATCCCTGCTGGAGGGATAAAATAGTTTGGTCATCTACCAGAAAGATTAAACCCCAGCATGGGCAGAAAGGAAGTGAGGAAATCGGTGTTCAAACGTGTGTGCTCCTGAGATGCTCTCTGAAAGTCAGCTCTGCCTGAGTCTAAGACAGCTTCCTCTTTCACTTTCTTCAATGTGATGCAATCACTGTCTCAGCCTCCTCCTCACCAGGTAAGTTTCTCTACGTGGAGAGTGAGACAGAGCCTGAACTTCCATAGGACTCTCTTTGTAGACAAGCTTGTCCTCGGCACGTTTGGGGGGGCGGGCAGAAATATTAGGAGCCTCTGACCAAATGGGCTCCAGTCTTAGAACTGGTGGGACAGATTCCTTGGAAGCTGGGTAGCACGTGTGCCTTTCAAGCTACAGTTTGATAACCACATGTAATGGAAAACTTTTCAGGGTTCTTTAAGGTAACCCTCAGATCCAAGCTGGTCACCTTGAGACTGTCCATTCTTCTCAGTGGTTTCTCCAGGGAATTCATACAGCCAATTCCTCCCAGAAACCAACCTAGGAGATGGAATTGGGTCCTAAATTAAGGGACGATGACTCTAGTTTGCCCATTTCCTTCCTAGGAAGGAACAAAGCACTTTGAGCCACAGAAAGACAAGCCCTGAAGGCCTCCATACAGCTCCCATGAATGCAAGGGTTTTCCAGGGGAAGCCAACATTTCTGCCTCATCCAGAGACCTCAAGTTCCTGATAAGAGTGCTGGTTGATGTTGGCTATAATCCATGAAGCCTGGCAAGAGGCAGCAAGCATTGGTTAAAGGCAGTTGGTCCAGGCTTTGTTTGCTGGCCAAAATGTAAACCAATTTTGAAAGAGCACTACAGTAGAAGAAATCGGTCAGTCAACTGCAGAGCTCAGTTAGGACTCATGAGTGGCCAGGAAGAGTCAAGATAGCTGACCCAATAGTAATAAATTCCATCCAGGCACCAAAACGCCAAATTTAAAGCAATATCCTGTAAAGACACATGTGAAGGAAACAAAGCCTCTGATGATCACCTTTCTTCAATACCAATTAATCCAACCTTGTCAATGCTTATATAACACTCCAGTCCTAAAAAAAAAAAAAACACACACACACACACTCCAGTCCTGTTGGTACAAAACTCTGGGACCTGGGATTATCATTTTCTACAGAATTTGAGAATCATTAACCAAATTGAGGATGATTTCCCACAAGCTTGAAGAATGTACAACAAGAAATGGGGGGATTGAAACATAAAGCATTAACCAGTTTAAACTGGTTTTGGCTCCTTAAAACAGGTTATTGATTAATCAAACCTTGAGTTTTTTTTTTCTTTTTTGAGTTATTTAGAGGCAGCACTATGAAGTGCAATAAAGGAGTCCCTGTTTCCAGGATGACCCCGGAAACAAGAGGGTTCAGTCTGTGGAACTCTTAGAGTAGGAATGTTGCCATGGGAGAACTCTATGAAGTCCTTCAATAGGACAATCTGGCTTCTAGCAGCATGAATAGCTTACATGAACTAATTCAAGACTAGCCAATTAGCTTCCAAGTTTGCAATTCTCCTAAACACTTTAATTTTACCTCAAACAGATTGAGGAGACAGATTTGAGAGCCTGACTTCCTGTCTTCTTGCTACTCCACCTTGGATTAAAGTTTTTCTCTCAAAAGCCTGTTCCATAGCCTTGGCTTCCATGTGCATCAGGCAGTGAGCCCTTGATGGGAAACACTCGTGACTGATAGGCCTGGAATTAAGATTCCTGTCTGAATTTCTCTAAATCCTACACTGTTATACTTCTCTTGTCCTAAAGCAGAGCTTGTGTTCCTTACCACTCAAATGTGTCTTGGGATAAAAGTAAGGACTCTGGATATATTCCAATGCACTTCTTCAGGCACAAAGCCTTGAAGGCTGCCTTGGAAATGACAGGAATAAGGAAGAGAAACAGAGGACAGGGACAGTCAAATCTTTTCTCTGTGAAAGTCAGATAACCTCAATCAGAATACCACAAAACCATCTTGGATGGCTTTTTTCCTTTAAAATTGTACTCATATCTCAGATATGGTGAGTTGGGTTCTAGATCACTGCAATAAAGTGAACACTGCTATAAAGTAAATCATGAGGAATTTGGGGGATTCCCAGTGCTTATAAAAGTTCTTAATCCTATAGTACACTTATTAGAAGATGTCTAAAATTTGCACATATCTTAATTTACAAATGTAAGACAGTTACAATAGTAACAAAGACAACTGATCAGAGCACCATAAGAAATAAAATAAGGAAAGACTTTAAAATATTTAAAGAATCAACAATATGTGGAAAAGGGGCCCCAAGTGAATACATGATGTGGGGAAAACGGTGCCATAGACATGTTCAATGCATGGTTACCATAAACTTTCAGGTTGTAACAAAACAAAGTATTTGTTTTTTTGTTGTTGTTGTTGTTGTTTTTCCATTTATTTTTATTAGTTGGAGGCTAATTACTTTACAACATTGCAGTGGTTTTTGTCATACATTGAAATGAATTAGCCATGGGTTTACATGTATTCCCCATCCCTGTCCCCCCTCCCACCTCCCTCTCCACCCTATCCCTCTGGGTCTTCCCAGTGCACTGATTACATGCAGTACAATGTTTTAAAAGTATGCCTGTAAATCAGTTAAAACAAGTCATGAAAAGAGACTGACTCTGGCCTTTGAAAAGTATGGGTCAGTATTTTTCTCTGGGAGCACACCCCATCCTGCCCCCTGCCTTCTGTGTTATTGTCTCCGTTTTAGGTCCAGTCTGGGACATAAAACTGTAAGGTTTGCATTAGGGACACTGCTCAAGAGTTTTCAG